CTTCCTGATTACATGCGGTTCAATTTGTCTTTCTGTAAGTTTGTTGATTTGATCTACCAGTGGTTTGCGATCACAATAGATAGTGAGGTCGCAGTCTCTTCTAACTAGCATCAAGGTTGCCAAAACTCCAAAGCCTTCTGCGCGTGCAATGGTCTGGTGTCCTGGTATTCTTGTGCTAATCTTTTTGTAGGCGTCATCTGCATCCAGTTCGGGGAAGTAGATTCCAAATCCTGCTCTTGTGTTTCCTTTGTTGGCACTGCCGTCCGGGTATGCTACGGAAGCAGTTATGGTGTGTTTGGGATATATGCCCCACATGTCATGTGCTTCTTCGTTATGGGAGGGCATTACATTAGCATGGGGGTAAAGAAGATTTTCAATGTAGATTTGTACTAGTACTTTCAGTAGCCTCATTTGGACAACGCTGACTGATGGGATGTTCAGGTCATGGTGTAGAGGTCTCGTAAATGGGCTAATCAGTTTTCTTTTGATCAAATCTAGCGCCGACGCCGTAGTGCGCCCCATCTGATTTTGCCAGGGCTCTTGCGGTTGACAGTATTGCAGGTTGTCCGCAATGCTTATTTCAAACAGTGGTGATATGTCATCTAGGGTAGTAAGTTTGGCTTTTGCCAGATTGTTGAACAGGCGGACTATGTGTGTACCGGTGAAGTTTTGGGAGTTGCTTAGTTCCAGGTGATACTTGTGGGCTATGGGTGCAAGTGTTTCACAAATCTTTCGGCTGTGAAGATTGATGCAGGTGTCAAATTGGATTGATAGGGACATGTTAACTTTTTGGAGATGTTCACGCACCCCGCGAAATAGTGGAGAGTATTTCGATTCGGGCCATGCCATTCGGCGACCGATGGAGGAAAAGGGTGGCATACCCTCAAGCGCTTTATGTCTGATGTGGGAGTAGCTTATGCGTGAAGTTACTTGGCATGGTTGGTCCACGCTGAGAAGTGCGGATTGCATGAATTCTGCTCGGGTGCTCGCTTGTAGTGTTGGGATGTGGTAAAGTCCCTGGTGGACCAGAAGGTCAGTGGGAGTGGATTGTGCAATGCCTGCTAGGCACTTGACCGTCTTTGCAAGGATACTTTGGAAGTCGTCTAGGTCTGTCTTGTTGAACTTTACAAGGTACATCCGGTATCGCAGCTTGCTAGCGAGATCCGAGTTGACGTAGTTGATGGCTTCATGTAGTGACATGCGTTCTTTTTGCCGACTAATATATTCGGCGCATGAATTTCGGAGTTTGGCTATCATTTCCTTGCGCTGTTGTTTGAAGTCAAGGCCCATGTTGATATAGTATCCCAGGTATTTGTATGATGTTTTTCCGTGGAGTCTCGGGACCACGCCCCAGCGACATTCTGGGACCGGTGGAGGGAGACCTCCATCGTGATCCATATACTGATAGCCGCATTTGTCCGCATTCAATTCCATGCCATAGTAGGCAAGGAAGCGTTCAAGCATGTCGAACATCTCAGTGACCTCCTTGTTGGAATTGGCTATGAGTGCCATGTCGTCGGCATAGCCGTTTACGGGTACTTTTATCTTGTGATCAAGTGGAGATTCCGGCGGGCTTTCCATTTCATATCCTAAATCGTGTGAGCGGAGCCATTTGAAGAACATGTTTAGGACTAGGCAGAAGAGGGTAGGGCTGAGACAATCTCCTTCATGAACCCCATTTTGTTTGGCTTGCGGGCTGGAGATACCGGTGGGGCCACGGGCCGTGCACGTGAATTCATGTTGGGTATCCTTGATCAATGCGAGGAAGGGACCGTCAAGACCAAGAGCAGTAAGTGCATCTGTGAATGCTTGATATAGGACGCTAGGGAAAGCACCTTTTATGTCTGAGTATACGATGTGGAGGGGTTTTTTGTTCAACTTGGCGTCCGCAATAATGTTCATGACTACTGCCGCTTTGTGTGCAGAATGGATACCTCTGCGGTTTGCTCCTTGGTTGGGGTCCAAGCCCGTAGTTTGCGTGAGCAATCGCTGGAGTCTGCTGTTAATTGAGCCTGTTACAACTTTGAATAGGCAACTAAGTAGACTGATCCCACGATAGTTTTTGAATTGGAGGGGGTCACCCGACTTGTAGATGAAGATGAGAAATGCTTGTTTCATGGAAGCCGGCATCTGTTGTTGTTTTAGGATCGTGTTCAGGAACCTGAGCAGTATACCTTCTATGTCAAAGTCTTTGAGATCTTCATTGAGGCACATGTACTTGAGGACATCGTATTGTATTCGATCTATCCCCGGAGAGGATCGACCCGTGCTTCGAAGGAACTCTCTAAGATCCTCTCTTGTAATGGGGGCCATCAATTGGATATCTGTACTTCTGATCTTTTTACATTCCTCCTTCCATATCGAGGCGTCAAGCCAAGGAGGGATGGACCCTTCTGTGGATTTTGTTGGCATAGTATTTGGGCGGGTGGCTGCAGCTGTAGTGCCCCAGTATTCATTCACTGCGTGGCCGGTTATCATTTTTTGTGGTTGCTCTGGATCTTTCATCATGGCCGGTAGAGGAGAGCTGGCGTTCTTATGCATTAGATGATACGCACGTCGAGCTTTGGAGCCTATGCCTGTGGAAAAGGTTTCTTTCAGAATTTTCTCTTTTCCCGATTTCTTGGCGGATCTCAACTTCACATCATACTCTTTTTTCCATTTAAAGTGAAGTTGGCATGCGACCGTCCAGTGTTGGATCCAGTCCCCCTCCGACCATCGAGACCCAGAAGTATCTCTTGGAAGCAAGGATGTTAATTCTGGGAGTGCTCCTCGCAAGCGGGGTTCGTTCTGGAAGTCCAAGTATGTGCTTCTTGCTTGTAGCCGTTCTGGTTTGTCCAGGCTGCGTCGACCGCGCACTCTTGCATCATATAAGTTTGTGAGGCTGGTTTTGTAGCGATGTAGCCATACCATGACATGATTGGCAAACCCCGTTTCAACTGTCTTGTATGTTTTGCGTCGTTGGTTGCTTCCTGAGTTCAGGGCTTCGCCGACTTTGTTCACAAAAAGATCAATCAAGTGCGTATGGATTTCTGCAAGGCGTTCCGATGGGAGAGGTTTCGTTGCGGTCTGGTTATATTCCGGATCGTGTAATAGATGACGTGCTATTTCTGGAGGAAGGCATGAACGCCAGTTTTGCACATTCCGTTTGAGGATCTGCAGATGTTCCTTAGAGATCTTATCTAGTTTGATCAGTGGATTTAGCTTGAACAGCACATCCGGATATTCTACCCACCCGTCGCACAGCGAGCTTAGGCTGATTGGATGTATGACCGCTCGATGGTCAGAAAGTTTTATAGTGTCATACTGATCCCAGTCAATGATAATTGTATCCTCAAGATGGTCAGTGGGAAAGGATGTGAACATCTTGTCCAAGATGGACCTGAAGCGTTGGGAGCGCGGCTTGATGCAAAGGTGTATGCTGTTTGAGCATTGAGTTTTTGTTGTGCCATAGGGTCGAATAGGAATAGATTATCTTCTGCCAAATCTGCTATCAGACCGGTCAAGAATCGCGTGTCAGACTTTCTGGTAGTCTTTTGTGCAGGCTGTGGGCCATTCGCTAGTAGGGGTCGATAGATGTCACGCTCAGCATTCGTATAGCTGTTCCAGTCGCCAGCAAGGATCAAATGACTATTTGGACGGTCAATTAGTGATTTCATTGTATTAGCTACATGCACTGTTAATGATTCCCAAAAGGCCGGCTTTTGCTCTTCTTTGGCTGGAGCATATACACCGATGATTTCAAGAGTAATGCTATTGTCATCTTTGGTCGGGATGATAAGTGACCCTTGGATCACTCTCGCAGCAAATGATTGGACATTCAGTTTCACGGGTTGGTATGCAAGTCCTACACGTATAGCGATGCATACGCCCCACTCCTTTGCCGACTCCGCGATGGCATGCGAGCTATTTGAAATATCAATATAAGATACAAAGTGGAAGGTGTATCCATCAACTGTATAGGTTTTACCAACCTTATTTTTCCCAATGGATCGGCGAGTTTCAGTGAGTATTGCAACATGTACATCGTGTTTCTTGAGAAAGGCTGGAAGATCTGCCAACTTATTATCAATGCCCCGACAATTCCAATTCATGACATTCAATTTATCGTGCATTTGTATATTAGGCTGCTCATTTACATTATGGCAGACATCATCTTCATTACTGCGGCATGCACCAGACGGTACGACTGGTCCTGGGTTGGGATGAATATCTCCACATAGTAGAAGGAGATCGGAGATGTTGTGAGCCCCTACCTTGTATTTCATTATTGACGGGTTTGGTCTATAAAAGGTGCAGCCGTAGTCACAGGGCACTCTACAAAATCTTATATGGTGTGTAACAAATATATCATGTGGATATGGCATGTATCCGAGCAGACATGCCGGGACAGCAAGAAACTGCTCATTGGACAAGCAACCTACGTGAAGCTGCATTGAAGTCGAGACGGACCAATTTAGCAACGAGTGGTTGTAATCGGGGAGAAGAAGGAGATCAACGAGCACTGGGTCTTGCATCATCCAAACAGAGCCTAAAATACTACGGCCAGCCCTAGGTAAGTCATTCTCCGACAGACCTACTCTATTGCTAGTTGTACTGCATCCTGCCCACCACAACCGGTACAACAGCGTAACCATTGATTGCTTCTTTGAAGAATAAAGATACCAGGCTGCCATGCCACACGCGACAGGCTATAACTCAGTTGTTGAAGGTCAGGCGCTTCGGTTTCTTTTCCTCCGGTTCTTCCTGCATGTGTGAGTCGGACGTAAAAACAGTGGATGCAAAAAACTGAGTAGGGGCAAACAGCAGGGTAGGAGGTACAGGAGAACCTTTGTAGGCAGTCTTTTCGGTTCTCTCTTTGAAGCAGAATGGAAATTGTGATTCTCCTGCACCTCCTTTGCTTCGCAAATTGGCATGCCTGTTGCATGGTACGGGCAGCACAAGTGACTTTTGCTGCAGCAACTTTGCAGATTCGACAGAAGAACGCCATTCTTACCACGATGTACTCTGGCAGGCCGCGGGACGTGCGCTTGAAGTGGTTCCTGGCCTGCATGATTGCGGCCAGGAGACGTCCGTTGTCCCTGACCAGCACGTCAAAAGCAGACCGCTGGTCGAGGCTGGGGATCTGGGTCTTCAACACGTCGCTCTTCCAGAAGTAGGCCAGGTCTGCAACCAGCTTCTTCCCAGAGGGCAGATTAGCTGCACCAAGCCAGATTCGCGCGGCAACCGTCTCATCGTAGGTCTCAACGAGAAAGGCGCGCCCATTGGGCCCATTGAACTCCTCCACACTCACGTCGTCCTTGTCCGCTCCAGAAGCGGCGACTGCACCCAGAATGTCGCTTGCCCGGATGTGGTTGGGAAGGTTAATCCCGTCCACGACAAGCGCCATGGGGTCGTAGGTGGTGGGGCCCAGCTCCCCGCGCTTGGGGTGCAGAACCCACTTTTTGCCCCCGGGGAGAGTCTGCGAGGTTGAGAAGAGTAAAAGCGTGAGAGTTTTGGATCCTCTGTAAAGATTGCGATGAGCTAACTCGAGTGTAGGGACCTCTGCATTTGCATATCGTTGCCGCTTCTGAAACTTGTTCGGGACGTTCAAAAACACTTGCCAATTGTGCGGAAGACGTGCACTTGTGCTCACTAATTTGCGAAAAGCTTGAGCTCGAGCCTGTTTGTTCAGGGTCGACAATTGCGGACCCCAGTAGCTTACCACGCTCACGCGCCCCTGAATGATCTTGAAGAAGGTGTTGTCATCCGTGACTGAAATTTGCAGCTTCTGTCCGCCCTTCTTGTCCGCCAGTAGCTCCACCCTGGCGCCTTCATCCCCACAGCACTTTATGACGCCCTCCTGCAGGGTGGCCACATGCTCGGGCGACAGAGGAACCCCGTTAGTGCCGTACACGCCCTGGGTGCTCCTCTTCGACCAGGCCTTCTCCTCATACCTGTGCTGGGGGGGGGCGATGTTGAGGCCGGCTTCGCGGATGATGTTGCTGCCATTAACGTTGTCCTGCATGGTGGAGACATTCAGGGCGCACTCAGATCTGGGATTTCTGTGGCAACAAAGTGGAGTAAGCAGCGTTAGGTACTCTGATCCTTTCTTCATCCCTTTGGTGTCTAGAACACTTGCTATATCACGTCGAAAGAGGCATGGTTCCATCCTAATTCTTTTGTTGAATTCCGTCAACAATCTGAAGTTTGCGTTAGGGTTTGCACCAGCACTCATGTTGGATGGGGCCTGCTTTGCTAGGCTGCCTTGGCAAGGACAATCAGCTTTGGCACTACTTTCTACAGTGGGTCTTCCTCTACCAGGTGCGGATTCCTCAATGCAGGACTTAAGTTGAACACAGCGGCATTTCTAGTTCAATACACGAGGACCATTTCAGGGTTATTTTACCTTTCCGAATTTTCACTTTCCGAATGGGAAATCCGAATTTCTGACTTTCCGAACGCAGATAATTGTTTATTTATTCGGAATCATCACGTTGGACTACGGT